TTGGAAAGCGGCGCGGTGTCGCAGCACCGAATCATTTCTTGTAGTGCCATGAAGGCGGGTGAGAAGGGACATCTTGGCCCGTGTGGGGGCAGGAAGAGTAGACGGCGGTACTTGTCATTCGGGTGTGCGCAACACCTAATCAACTCTCGCAGCAATGGGAAGGGCGCGGGGTGTGCGCGGCATGTGGCAAAGTCTCGCAGTACCCACCGTATTCCTCCTCCTCCTCCTGCTCCTCACTTCCGCCACTCCTGGCCTTACGCCCCGTGGCGCCTTGTTTTCTGTCGATGGTGGCGCGACGGTCCCACCACCCCTCGTGGATCTCTCCTCCGCGGTGGCTCGTCAGCCCCCTTCTCCTCAGCGTGGGTCGCGGGGTTCGCTCGGTCACCGCCTTCGGGCGTGGGCTCGGCCCGTTTTTCTGCGTCGTCCCCGGCGCGGGGGGTGATCCGAGGGGATGGGCCTATTTTGCGCGTTCGCCTGGCGGTCGCGGCAGGCGTGGTCCGCTTCTTTACGCTTCTCCTCCCCCACTTGTTTCTCACTTTGTCTTGCCCCCCCCCGTTCTGACAGCGATGGCGGCGTCCGGTTGGGTGGTCGGCCCGCCGCCCATCACGTGCCAATACAGGGGCGCGTCTAGAGGTGTTGGCAGATCGCATTTCTCTACGCAGTTGGTTGCAGAGCTCCGCGGTCGAGCGTTACGCGCGCGGCGTCGCACGCACGCGCTTTCTACTTCATCGCTCGAGCAAATTACGTCCGCTTTCGGTGACGCTCATTGTGTCTTCCCGTCGCGCTGTTGTGGTGCTGCCGCGCCTTGTAGAACTGGTACTCCGCCCATTCACGCTATTGCGTCTCGCGTCGCCGCTCGTACTTTAGCACCCTACGCTAACCCACCCCGGCTCGTGTTTTACAAATTCTTACGTGCTTCATTGTCAAACATCTCTTGACCGATGATTCAGTTGCCGCCAATTCGTATCAGAGTGCTTGCGCTTCAGTTCACTTTGCGTCGTGCTTACTCCTCAGTTTTCTGGCCGCTGCGCGCTCTCTTTTTGGGCTCACAAGCCCTCTACTCCACCGCCCAGCGTTTGCATTCCAGCGTTTGACGCTTCGTTACGTTCGGTCGCAGTTCGCACCTCCATCTGCTGCCCGCGCCTGAGGACCTCCTGCGCCGCTGACCCAAAATTATGTATGTGATGTATGTATGTATGTATGCATGTGTGTGTGTGTGTTTGTGCGCCGGCCCGAGCAGGGCAGGCCAGCGGCAGATGCGGCAGGGGGGGCCACGAGCGAACGACCGAAGGACGAGCGAACAGAAAAGCATGTCCGAGCACTGAAACTCGCAATAGGGGGGGGAAACGGGTCCTGGTGGCAACGGGTGCTGAGGTTTTTGTGCCGTCTTCGGGCCCTCGGGGCCCTCCACGGGCCTCGGGACTGTCAGAAAACGGTCCAGGATGAGGAGCGCGTCGTGGGGGAAGGCCCCGGGGTCCGGGACCCGCTCCCCCCTCTCTGCTACAGAACACGGCTGCGCAAGAGAGCGAACAGGCAATCTCGAGCGAGCCCCCCCTCGCCAGGCTCATCCTCATCCGCCCCTCCTCGCAGCGCAGCCTCCCCGCGCGCGGCGGGCGACGTGCGCGACAGCGGGCCTGGCCCGCACCTCTCGGGCAGCACCGCCGTGCGGCGCACAGTGGGGCCGTCGCGAGCTTCGCGTGGGAGAGCGGCACCGAGAGTTGTTGCTGAGGCTGCCGAGTGCGGGCCGAGGAGGGGGAGGATGCAGGAAGGAGGAGGCGGGGGCAGAGGAAGGGAGGGAGGGAGGGCAAGGGGGAGGACGGCGGGAGAGAACGGATGAGGAGGGTAGAGGAGGAAGGAGAACTGTGATCGTGGCGAGAAGTAAGAGGGGGGAGGGGGATAATATGATGAGGAGGAGAAATAGGAGGAGGATGAAACGGAGGATGATGATGAGGAGGAGGAGGACCAGTGAAAACCCAAGAGTCATCAACGATGCTGGAATAAACCCTCCTCCGAACTCCTTCTTCATAAGCCCCTACAGCGGCTCATTTCCACTGAGGGAATTGCTTCGTTGGAACACAACCGTTTGAAACCCCTGAACCATGCCAAAACATTGTTTTCGGCATTCCAACGCCACGGATGATCCTGACTGTTGCGTCTTGACGATTTTGAACCGTGCCACCATTCCTGGGACTTGAACACAGCGAACTTGCGCAAGTGTTGCACCCTCATGATATTGAATTCTTGCAAAACCATGTGTGGTTTGCTGACCATGGCAATCCGTGAAACTCTTTCAAAGTTCAAAAACAAATGTGCGCAGCGCTCAGGCGAGAGCCATAGTTTGAAAAGGAGCCGCCCTCAATCCGTGAAGTTCTTGCAATTTGTTAGAGCGAGTGTGCGCGGCGCCTAGGCGAGAGCCACATTGTGAAAACGGCCCGCCCTCAGTCCGTGAAGCTCTTGTATGTTTTTGAATCGAACGTGTGCGGCGCTGAGGCGAGAGCTACATTTTGAAAACCACCCGCCCTCAATCCGTGAAAATCGTTTTATTTTGTAAGAAGAATGCGCGCGGCGCTAAGGCGCGAGCCTCATTTTGAAAACCACCCGCCCTCCACTTGCGAAACTGCTCCCCCAAGTTTAAAGCTCCAGGGTCATAAGTGGGGAGGAAGTCTCAGGCGAAACGCCCGGCCCGCCCTAAAGACTAACCTTGGGTTGCGACGGGGAGAAACTGCTTATGAGTGTAGGGAACAGGAATGGAGGAGGAGGAGGAGGAAGAAGAGGAAGAAGAGGAGGAGGAGGAGGGGGAGGGGGAGGGGGCAAGCTAGGTGCGCTCGCGTCATATCTGACGTCCTACCCCTCCCTCCCATCCCTTACCATGGCGCTGATTTTCTCTATCCGCGGACGCGTGTCGTAGCGGACCTGTGGCTCCGCGCGCGCGTGCGTAGTGGGTGGTGGTGCGCGTGCGTGCGTGCGTGCGTGTGTGCGTGGTTGTGGTGATGGTGGTGGTGCTGGTGCTGGTGCTGGTGCTGGTGGTGCTGGTGCTGGTGGTGGTTGTGGTGGTGGTGGTGGTGGTGGTGGTGGTGGTGGTGGCGGCGCGGTGGTGGCGGGCGGATGGGCGCGCGAGAAAGAGGCCCGCGCTGGGGCGAGAACGCCATCCTGAACGACGGAGGCCAAACACCGATCCGAAAATGAGGCCCACGCTGCAGCGGGAGCACGATTCGGAACGATTCGGGAGCAGAAATGAGGCCGGCGCCTCAGCGAGAGCAGCATTTTGAAAAAAACGCAGGCGAAAACCCAACTCCCGGGAATCCTGTGTAAAAAAAACAATACGCGGGGGGGGGGGGGTCGGCCACTCCCAGCACGCCATCAGGGGAAGAGGGAGAGTAGTATTCATATTGAGTAATTGTAGAGGGCAGCCCGTCATCGTGTAGCTTTGGTAGAGGCCGGCGCAAACCCTCAGTTCGGAGCGCCGACTCCGCGGGAGCAACTGCTGCTGGGACGAGGGACGAACAGCGGTCACTCCCGGGGGGGAGGGGTTGCGACAGCAGGGCCTGGGCAGCGCTACCCAGGCGAGCGCGAAGTGGGCCCGGCGGCAAGGCCAGAAGCCCGGCGCCGCCCAGCCCTGCCAGCACAGGCGCCGAGCGTCGGCGCCCAGCTGGCCTCGTTCCGGTCCAGCCAGCAGCGGCGCCCTGCCTGGCAAGCAGCGTCCGCCCAGCTGGCGTCTGGCGACCACCGTCGTCGGAACGCCGGCCGCCTGCTGCGCCTGGCGCGCTGCCGGCGTCGGCGGCGCCCGCGCGGGCGGCCGCGGGCCGCCAGCCGCCAGCTTCAGCCTGGCGGAGGCCAGGCGCCTTCTGGGGGCTGGCGCGCCGCGGCCGCCTTAAAGCCGCAGCTGCAGCGCCTTGCAGGCCCGCGTCAGCGTTAGTGCTGGTCCTCGGGCAGGCGCCTCGCCTGCCCGAGCAGCCAGAGGCGGGCCACGGCGCCGAGCCGACCCCCCGCCCCGAGGACGAAGGGCGTCAGCCGGTCGCCCGGGTAGCGGGCGTGCTCGCCCCGCTCGCCGCGTCGGGTCGCCTCCGCGTCCCAGCGCGCGGCCACCCGCAGCTCGGCCTCTGTGCCGGAGCCGCCTGCCCGAGCGACGTTGATCCCAGCCCTCCTGTTCAGCCCCCCGCACCGCGCTCGCCCAGCGCCCCGTGGAAGCCGGCGCCGTTGACGGCGCGCAGACGGTGCGGTCGCGAGCTCCTGCTGGCCGAGTTCAGCGCGCGGGAGCTGCAGCCGCCGCCGCGCCACAGCCTGCCAGAGGGCGTTCGCGAGCGTGCAGAGCGCATCCCCTGGGTACGTAGCCGGTGTCCCAGAAAGGCGTTGGTGCCGCTCCCAGCCGCGTACCGCAGCTCGGCCTGTCGGGGAGGGGGGCAAGCGTCGCAGCAGAGCTGCGCGCAGGGTCCTTCGCACCCTCTCAGTGGCCAAGCCTTGCTCCAGTGGCGTCTGCAGGGCAGTCGCCAGGTCCCTCCCCCTTCGGCGCGAGCTTAAGCCCCTGGCCCTGCAGTCCGCGCCTCAAGGGGGGAACAACCACCCCGACCACGATAATAGACGTTTACTGAACGGTCTTGGGCGGTTGCCAAACAGCTCTGCCCTGTTCGATTCGTTGCTTGGGCACGTTTTCTCAACGGCTGCGCTCGTCGGGGTGCTGCACTATTGTGAGGGCGGGTTTTCCGCTCGCTAGCGCCGCGCCGTTTCCAGCTGCTGGGCCGCCCGCGGCAGCCGCTCCAGGCAGTCAGCCAGCGTCCTGCTGCCCTGGGTCCCCCCGCGGTCTCCTGCGCCGCTGCTCGGAGGAGGGCCCGCCGCCGTCCTGGCCGCGGGGCGGGGGGGGAGGAGGAGGAGGAGGAGGAGGAGGAGGAGGAGGAGGAGGAGGAGGAGGAGGAGGAGGAGGAGGAGGAGGAGGAGAGGAGGAGAGGAGGAGGAGGAGGAGGAGGAGGAGGAGGAAGAGGAGGAGGAGGAGGAGGAGGAGGAGGAGGAGGCGTTGCCCTAATCGAAACGGGGCGCGGCGCCCCCCACCGCGCGCGCGCCCGCCGCCCCGCAGGGTGACCCCGCGCGGCCAGCCGCCGGCTGAGCCCGCAACGATGGAGTGTCATTGATCTCTCGATCTTGCCTCTTTCATCTTGCCTTGCTTTCATCCGTTGCTCTTGTTCTCGCCAGTCGCGTCAAGAACGATGGACTCGGGGGGCCGCCCGAAAGCGTGGCGGCCCGACCTCTTGCGCCAGGCCGAAATCGACTCCTACGGTCCCACCAAGGCCAGGCGCCTCGCCCGCCGACGCCGCCGCGACGCCACTGAGGCGTGGTTGAGGGCGCACACCGGCCAAAGGCGCGAGGCGACCAAGGCCAAGCAGCAGACTAATTACATAGTAGTCGAGATCAGGGAGGCGATAGCAGACCCAAACCCTCTGCAGTCCCTTGATATGTGGTGGCCTAAGGACCCGCATGATAGCAGATGTGAAGAGGATGCCGAATGCTGTCGGCTACAATGTTTTCTTCCTTCCTTTCTTGGGCATCAAGAATTTTGGCACACAGCGTGCGAGAAAGTGCAGGCAGTGGAGCCCAATGTTAGCAGCTTGGAGTGCGAGAAACTGCAGGCAGTGGCGCCTCAAGTTGGGGACGGTCATCATCAACTACTTCCCCAAAGTCAGCGCATGCGAGAAGAGCCAGGTGTGGCAACATGTGCAGAGCCCGCTCACCGAAAGTGCGAGGAGGGCCAGGCACTGGAGCCCAAAGTCATTAGCTTGGATTGCGAGAAACTGCAGGCAGTGGAGCCCTCAGCCGGGAACGTGCATCATCAACTACAGTCACAGAGTCAGAGCGTGCGAGAAGGGATCGCTATGGCATCTGGTGTGGTATCAGGTGCAGAACCCGCTCACCGAGAATGCGAGAAGGTGCAGGCAGTGGAGCCTAATGTCGTCAGATTGGATTGCGAGAAGCTGCAGGCAGTGGCGCCCAAAGTTGGATACAGTCATCATCAACTACAGCCCCAAAGTCAGCGCGTGCGAGAAGAGTCAGCTGTGGCATCAGATGCAGAGCCCGCCCACCGAGCATGCGAGAAGGTGCAGGCAGTGGTGCCCAACGTCATTAGTTCGGATTGCGAGAAGCTGCAGGCAGTGGTTAAGAAAGCCGTGCAGGGTGATCTCGATACGGCATTGTTCGAACAGTTGTACGAAGCACCGTCAAGCGACGAGGAGCTGGAGGCGCGAGACACACTGGATGTGGCATCAGGTGCAGAACCCGCTCACCGAGCGTGCGAGGAGGGCCAGGCAGTGGAGCCCAAAGTCATTAGCTTGGATTGCGAGAAGCTGCAGGCAGTGGCGCCTAGAGATGGGAGCATGTATCATCAACTGCAGTCACAGAGCCAGCGCGTGCGAGACGAGCTAGCTGTGGCATCAGGTGCAGAGCCCGACCACCGCGCGTGCGATAAGGTGCAGGCAGTGGAGCCCAACGATATTAGTTTGGATCACCAGAAGCTGCAGACAGGGGCGCCTAAATATGAGTACAGCCATCATCAACTACAGCCCATAAGTCAGCGCGTGCGAGAAGAGCCAGCTACGGCATTAGGTGCAGAGCCCGCTCACCAAGCGTGCGAGAAGGTGCAGGCAGTGGAGCCAAACGTTAATAGTTTGGATTGCGAGAAGGTGCACGCAGGGGCGCCTAAAGTTGGGAATGCGCATCATCAACTACACCCCCAAAGTCAGCGCGTGCGAGAAGAGCCATTTGTGGGGCACTGTCGGCTCCGTCTCCGCCGCCCTACGCCCTGGCCCTCCAGAGAGCCGTCTCTTGCCAGTTCTGAGGGGGCCACGGAGCAGCTGGCCAACGATGGCCAGGCCGACGTCCCGCATCCGACTGAACAGCTACAGCTCCCCCTCGGTTGGGAGTCGGCGGTGGATGCGAGCTCGGGCAACACATATTACTTCAATCGGGTTGCGGAAGTGACCCAGTGGGAACATCCTGGGGAGGCGGCGCGGCTCGCAGACGTCCTGGCTCAGCTCGAGGCCCTTGAGTATCAACTGCACCGCTGAAGAGATTCCCCCTTCTACGGATTACGATTCTTCCTTCTCTTGTGCATCAAGAATTGTGGTACACGTGTGTGAGATAAGCGTAGCAAGCGTGTGCGAGAAGGCAGCGTGTGAGCCAGAGAGGCGTCAACAGCGCCGCCCTGCTGGGCCCGTGTGCGCGCGCCGCCGCGGTGCGCGGTCCGCCCCGAGGCGGGGCTCTGGCGAGGTCGCGGTCTTGGCCGCGGACATAGTGGGCGCCAGGCGGCGGGGCCGCACATGGAGGCGCTGGGCGAGCAGAGGACGTTGCATGTTGTGGACTCCGCGGGGGCTCGCCCCCCCTGGGATGGGAGAGAGAGAGAGAGAGAGAGAGAGAGAGAGAGAGAGAGAGAGAGAGAGAGAGAGAGAGAGAGAGAGAGAAAAAAGAGAGAGAGAGAGAGAGAGAGGAGGAGGAGGAGGAGGAGGAGGAGGAGGAGGAGGAGGAGGAGGAGGAGGATCAGTGTTCTGCTCTTCTCAATGTTGGAGAACGTCCGCTTCTGAGTCACCGAAAGGTTCTGTGCACAAGACACATCAGCGATGTTGAAATACACCCTCCCTCCAAGATCCCTCTTCGCAGCCCCCTACAAGGAGTCATGGCCAATGAGGGAAGTGCCCTGTTCGGGGGCAGCCGTGCTAACATCTTGAAGCGTGCCAGAAGACCATGATCAGGACTTCCACGCCGCGGGTTAACTTGACTGGGGCTTCAACCCAGCGAATCAACGTAACCGCTGCCCTGCCAGTCCTGAATCGTTCCAAAACATTTATCTGGCACGTCATAAGAAACAGTGAAACTCTGGCAAATGCTTAAAACGAATGCGCGCTGCGCTAAGGCGAGAGCCATATGTTGAGAATAAACTGCCCCACCATCCGTGAACTTCGTGTAAATGTTTTAAGCCAGTGCTCGCGGCGCTAAGGCGATAACCACATTTTGAAAACCACCCGCCCTCGATCCTTGAAGCTCTTGCAACTGCTTGAAACGAATGTGCGCGGCGCGAAGGCGAGAGTCACACATTGAAAACCAACCGCCCTCAATCCGTGAAGCATTGCAGTTTTTCGAACGAATGCGCGCGGAGCTAAAGCGAGACAAACATGTTGAAAGCTGCCCGCCCTCAATTCGTACATATCTTGCATGGCTTACAACGAATGTGCGCGGCGCTAAGGCGCGAGCCACATGTTGAAAAACATCAGCCCTCAATCAGTGACAATCTTGCAAATGTTAAAAAAACACGGGCGCGGCATTAAGGCGAGCTCCACAATTGGATGTGGCCAGCCCTCCATCTGTGAAACCGTTGTCAGTCTTTGAGCATGAAGGTCATAAGTGGTGAGGAAGTCGCAGAAGAAACGCCTGGTCAGTCCTTTCGACTGGCCTCGGGGTGCGACGGCGAGGAGTTCTCACCCAGAAGGAAAAGGAATGGAGGAAGTGGAGAAGGAGGAGGACGAGGACGAGGACGAGGACGAGGAGGACGAGGACGAGGAAGACGAGGAGGCGAAGCAGGAGGAGGAGCATGGGCAGGAGCAGGAGCAGGGGAGCAGGAGGAGGAGGAGGACACGTAATCATAAACTTGACCAGCGCAAAAGGAGGAGGAGGGGGAGGAGGAGGAGGAGGAGGGAGGAGGAGGGGAGGAGAAACGGAGGAGGAGGAGGAGAGGGAGGAGGGAGGAGGAGGAGGAGGAGGAGGAGGAGAGGGGAGGAGGAGGAGGAGGAGAGGAAGGGCGGAAGGAGAGGAGAGGAGGAGAGGAGAGGAGGAGGAGGATGAAGGAGGAGGAGAGGAGGTCGAGGAGGAGGCGGAGGAGGAGGAGGAGGAGGAGGAGGTAGGAGGAGGAGGAGGAGGAGAGGAGGAGGAAGAGGAGGAGGAGGGAGAGAGGAGGAGGAGAGGAGGGAGGAGGAGGAGGAGAGGAGGAGGAGAGGAGGAGGAGGAGGAGGAGGAGGAGAGGAGGAGGAGAGGAGGAGGAGGAGGAGGAGGAGGAGGAGGAGGAGGAGGAGGAGGAGGAGAGGAGGAGAGAGGAGGAGAGGAGGGAGGAGGAGGAGGAGGAGGAGAGGAGAGAGGAGGAGGAGGAGGAGGAGGAGGAGGAGGAGAGGAGAGGAGGAGGAGGAGGAGGAGGAGGAAGGAGGAGGGAGGAGGCGGAGGAGAGAGGAGGAGGAGAGGAGGAGGAGGAGGAGGCGGGAGAGGAGGAGGAGGAGGAGGAGGCGAGAAAAATAAGAAGCGGGAGGAGGCGGTGAGCCATGCGTGTCTGCTGCGTGTCTCGCGGCGCACGCCGTCCAGGCAGGCCGGGCTCCAGAGGCCACGGCCTCGCCCACCTGCACTCAACCGGGCACAGACGGATGTCTGCAGCGGTGTTCGTTATCGCTCGCTCCCCGCAGGCGCGCCGCGCCCCGGGCGCTGCGGGCCGGACCTCGCTGCGCGGGGTGAGCAGCACCCAGCAGGCCATAATGGACGTCGAGGACGCCAAGCGCAGCGGGCCTCCCCCCCCTCCCCCTCCCCATCCACCCCCCTCTCCTCCATCCTTCGTCCTCCTCCCTCCTCCTCCTCCACCTCCTCCACCTCCTCCTCCTCCTCCTCCTCCTCCTCCTCCTCCTCCTCCTCCTCCTCCCTCCTCCTCCTCCTCCTCCCCGCACGCCGCCTCGGACAGGCGGCCCTCCTCCTCCTCCTCCTCCTCCTCCTCCTCCTCCTCCTCCTCTCCTCCTCCTCCTCCTCCTCCTCCTCCTCCTCCTAGGTGGCTTGGCGCGGGCACCGCAGCTGTTTTGCCCCGCGGCGGGCGCCCGCCGCGCCAATGCCCCCAGCGCCAGGCCTCTCCCCCTGGCGCGTCCGCGGATGCCCCTGGCCTCGCCTGGAGCTGCTGGTACGATTCATGTTGACAGCGCACGTGCCGCCTTCCTGTGCGGCCTCGCTGTCCCGAGCTGCCCGTCGCCGTGCCAGGGCGCGGTGCACGGCGGCGCGCCATGCGCAGGCAGCGGCTGGCGCCATCGTCGCCCTGCTGCAGCCACGGGACCCGGGCACGCCGGTTGCGGACAGGGCTCCACGCATGGACGCGCTGGAGACGCTCACCAGCCTCTCCGCGGCCGCAGGGGCCAACTTGGCTGCGCAACGGATCCGCACCGCCGCCACGGTGCGCACGCCCCTTCGTAGCCAGGCTGCTGTATACTACCCTGCTGGTCCTCTCGCCTCGCTTGACATTGACGGATCCGACGACTTTGCCTCGCGCTTGTCGGGCAGTGGCGTTGCTACGGGTCTTGGGGGTGTTGTCACTGGAGCCGCGATTCTGGGTACTACTCACGCTGGCCGTGCTGCTGCTGTCCCACGTCGTGGCTTTCTTGAGGACCATCGCCGTGAAGTGCGTGACGGAGTCCATGATGTCTTTCCTCTTGGAGGTGCAGCTGATGATTCTCAGGTCGTTCATCGATGCGACGAAGTGTGCCCACAATATGGTCGTTGTGCTCGTGTCGACGCCGTTCATGAACCCCCTGATGGCGCTCCTCCTCGCCCAGTTCCTGGGCCGCGTGGGCGAGTTTTTGGCCCGCGACCTTGGCATGGCGTTCCTCGGCCACTCCCTGGACCTTCTGGGCGCGTCTTCAAGGTTGGGCCTCAATACGCTGTTCGAGATGCCGTCCCTCGTCGAGTCCCTGGGCCTCGCGGGCGTCTCTTTCGTGCTCGGCCGTGGAATGGTGCTCTTCGCCCGCTCGTCGGACCTCGAGGGCGCGTATTCAAGGCTGGGCCACCACTCAATGGCACCAAATTGGCACGAGAAGGTCTCAAGGTACTCAGCGGCCGTACTGCTTCCCACGTCGAGGCCTATAGAACCGCTCTTGCTCATGGTGCGGCAGCGGAGACCGCAAGCGGCGACAACCTCTTCAGTGACATGGCGTACAAGTGGGCGTTGTGCGCTGAAGGCCTGCTGGATATTCTCTGCCGCCCAGAGCCTAGTAAGGCGGACGATGATGCGCCGACGAGTGCTGAGCCGCCTTGGACAGGATGCCTAGGCGCTGCCTCAGATGACGTCAGGTGCTCGCTTCGTTGTGACCTTTGGCCCCAGCGACCAGGGAGCGGCTTCGGTGGGTTCCCCTCGCCTGGAGGGGGGCACAGCCTGGCGGATGGCGCGAGCTGTGCCATCCCAGGTGATGCCGCACACCGGGTCCACGGGCAGGAATCTAGAGGGAGTGGCTTCGGTGGTCCTCCTGCGTTTTGCGGGAGGCACGGCCTGGAGGATAGCACGAGCTGTGCTGTCCCAGGTGACGCCGCACACCTCTGCTCCCAGGGAGTGGCCACGGTGGACTCCCCTCGCGTTGAGGGGGGCACAGCCTGGAGGATAGCGCATAGCACTGTCCCAGGTGATGCCGCGTACCTGTCTGGTGCTCTGGGCTGACGCTTTCCTGCGTGCCTTCGCTTAGGCCGCGACGTGAGAGAGGTGCACCATCCTAAGTGCACCCCGCGTCGGCACCTTCGGCCTTGTCACTGCTATCTTCTGTCTGTGCAGCTGGTACCCGAGATCCTTTAGGTGGGGTCCCAGCTTTTCCGCAGGCCAGCCCGGCTGCTAGCAGCTTGGCGCCTCAGGAGGGCGTTCGTGCACCGCGCGACGCTTCCCATGGCAGTGCCGTATCCTCTTCCTCCTCCTCCTCCTCCTCCTCCTCCTCCGTCCTCCTCCGCCTCCTCCTCCTGCACATCCCTCCTCCACCTCCTCCTCCTCCTCCTCCTCCTCCTCCTCCTCCTCCTCCTCCTCCTCCTCCTCCTCCTCCTCGTCGCCCTTTGGAGGCCAGCCTGCTGCTCTGGCAGGTTCCGACATCAAGATCCACGCCGTTGATTTCATTTGCAGGCCATCCTGTGGCCGCCCTGGGGGCCCTCTTGGGGCCCTCTTGTCAAACGACGCGAAGATCGGGACAACATCGGATCGGGATAACTCGAAATCTCTGAGAATCGGCGGGTTTGGAGGATGTATTGGGCGCCGCGGCCGCTCCAGAGCGTTCCGGAGCGCTCGAGCGTTCCGGAACGCTCTGAGAGCGCTCCGAAACGCTCTGGGGCGATTTATCCCGATCCTAGCCCTGCTTTAGCCCTCTTTGCGGCCTTCCTGCGACCCTGGCAGGTTACGATTCGTCCCGTGCGGTCCGCACCACGCCCCCAGGCCGTTTGCACCATCAGGCCACCGTGCCCTCCAGGGTGGTGGCTCCAGGAAGCTGGTCCCAGTAACGGGGTCAATGCGCCCCAGCCATAATACCTCAAGTCCTCCTCCTCCCTCCTCATCCTCCTCCTGCTCCTCCTCCTCCTCCTTCTTCTCCTTCTCCTCCTCCTCCTCCTCGCCGTTCTCCGTTCTCCCCCATTTCTTTCCTTACG